TAAAGTTCAACTTAATTTGTTTCAATTCAGCTTATATATTGTTGGCACAAACCTTTTTTTTTTCAGTGTAGTTTACCCAAACAAATATTTACTCAGCATTTACTGACCCTTAAATGTGAGTCTGTGTTTTGATGAACACAAAATAAATATTTCGATGAATGTTGGAAACTGCAACCATTGAAGAAAAACAAATACTCAGTGGTAACAGGTTTACATCATTCTTCAAAATATCTTTTTCAAAATACCCAAACAGGTTTGTGACAAGTGTAGGGTGAGAAATTTATGACATGTTTGAGTTTTTTTGGTGAATTCACTGCTGGGTTCCACACGATTTCGTCATATTGTCTCAACACAAATCGATTAAGTTAACTTCATTGTTTTTACAAATTTAAGTGGACTGAACATAAAACATTTAAATTGCCCCCCCCCCCCAAAAAAAAATCAAGAATTGTGTTAATTCAGCTCATTTTAAACAAGTAGTTTGAACAACTTGCACTCAGATCAACACATGCACTACAGTGCTCACGGTGACCTAAGTTCGATTCCTGCCTCGAAGTCCTATGCTGATCCTTCCTGTCTCTCTGCTCTCCATGTTTTCCTGTCAATACTCTCTGCCAGCTATCCATTAAAGGTGGAAACCCCGAAAAAATAATACAAAAAACATGTTTTTCTATGCTTATGTACATATTAGTAGGCCTTTAGATGGATACATTTGCTCACAAGCCATTAATTTAAAGGTATAAAATTATCCAATATAAAATCAATAGTACATATGCAAAAAATGTACATTTTGTATTAATACACAGACAATAAATGTTAAATCTGTATGTCAATTCTACTTTGTGACCATTTAATTAAAAAATTATATGTAGAAATTATTAGAAAAAAATTATATAATAGATAAATAAGAATCTTACAAATGCACTTTCACTAAATGCATCAAATAAATGCACTAAATACACTGACATTTGCTGTTTGTTCTAACTACTTATTTATAATGGGCTGAAACAACACAATTTTTTTTTTTTTTTTTTTTATGGGGACAACTTCATTATTCATGTTTAATCCACTTAAATTTGTTTTATAAGTTAACTTAATTCCTTCATATTGTCCAAACACAAATTGATTGTGTGAAATCCAGCATTTTTTTACAGTGTAATACAGTAACAATCATTTCAAACAGTGTCCTGTCTCGCTTAGGACTGGAGTCAACAGATTCATTAATGTAGAGCTTTTGCACAGATGCGTGTATGACAGGAATGGCTGAAGTGATGATGTAACACGAGTGCCATTGGATCCAAGGCTAAAATGATGCCTCAGAAATGGAGAAGCGTCTCTGCTGTAGTCATTACTGTACAGTATCTCCCGTCAGAGCCTCAGACTGATTCAGAGTCACAGAATATTTTGAGCAGTTTTGTGATTCTAGTCTGTTTTTTTTTTATTCAGATCAATTATGTCGTCATATTGTAATTTCAGTTTATATACTTTAAATTTCATGTTATATTAAGTCACTTGCCGTAATGATTTATGAAAATGAAGCAGTTTTCATTTGAAGCAGGGGTTTCAAAGCTATTATTTTATTTTGCATTTGAAAAATATTAGCTCAAAGTGAGTATGCATATTAAAAAAAAAACGTTACATTGACTTAAAGAGTAAATAAATGTAACACTTTTGATAATTTTTTACAATTAAAAAACATTTGTGACTTGTAATTTGTATGAATTTGCACAATTAGCTCACATATCAGTAACAATAATCTCTAGGGTTGCAACTTTATACTTACATTCGAGACTGTACAAATTAATTTGCCAAAATTAATTCTCAGAGGCCAGATTGAATAAATAATTACTAAAGAGATAACCATACAATAACCATTACCAACATGCCAAGTTATTTCTGCACAACTGACATGTTGCTTGACTAAATATTTATACCCCCCTTCTACAATGTGGTGAGTTCAAGGACATCCAAGAAAAATGTTTCATATTCCTGGTGCACATACTTGGGCGGCTTGGGCACATACTTTTGACATCCATTTTACATCATTCAGTCTAATTTAAATACAAATAATGTAGTTTATATCAGCGTTTATAGCTTTTGATTATAATTAGGAAGGTACTATATTAAATAAATGCACAAGCTGTAGTGTTTTGTGTGTCTGTTCCAGGAATGCTGTGCTTTCAGCTGTCTGCTGGTGTCTCATGGCTCCCCAATATAGCTTCCTTCACTCCCCCTTTCTGCCTCTCCTCCTGCTTGCATGGGTCGCAGGCTAATTTAGGTGATCTTTGGCAGGGGAGGGGGGTGATTTGAAGGGTGGCCACCTGCTGCAAAAGAGTCTCCGCTTCCAGCCTTACATCAAATTACGTTGGGCCTTGGCATTTTTCGGTCACCTCACTCGCTCTCTGTCCCCCTCTCTCTTACTCTGGGGCTCTCAGTGAGGCATGAAGACTCGACACTGCTTTTAGGTCCAACTCTATGGATTGTGCAGAGTTAGAAATGGACCTATGCTCAAGACAAAAATGCCACTTCAGATATTTTAAATATGGGGACAAATGGTCTCACAATAAATCTTTTTGTGTGCAGCATATGTATTTTATTTTTTTGCAGCCCTTATTTATTGCCGTATTTAATCTTAGAAATATAGGGTCTCAACTTGTTTTCTACAGTATCATACACTGGCAATGAACACTTCTTTAAATTATTATTTAACAGCTATGTGTGCATTATTGTGTCCTTTTAACACAACTTTTCAAATGAAAATGATCCATTTCAGAAACAATCTCTTTCTACCCTATCCAACCAAAAAAAAAAAAAAAGCAAGTTTGTGGTCTAAAGCTAAAACTGATGTTCTATTTATCTGAAGAAGAAATTTAAATATGAAAGAAAAGTAACTAATACAAATTAATTTGAATGAAAATGTTTGATTTTAAAAAGGAGTCATGTCCCCAAATGCCACCCCCAACGGGCAAATCATACGAATATGTACGAATAAGCTCATACAAACTATGTATTAACTACTAAATCAAACAGTTATGAATTTCTGTGAGATTGTGTTGGATTTTACAGTGATGCCGAAATATGAAACATTTGAGAGAACATTACTTAAACTATATATTTTTGAGTGTGAAAGATGCTTTTCTAATCTAAAGAACCTTTTCCACTTTAAAAAAAACTTTTGTGGAATGAAAATTTTCTATGGATGTTAAAAGTCACATGGCAGTGGTGGACGAAAACACAAATCAGACACTTGACGTCCTCCTTTGCAATATACAAAAGTACTTTGTTATTAATTTGCTTAAGTAATAAAAGTAAAAATATTTACTGATTAATATTATTTTGCAAGAATCTGTAATTACCAAAACTTGTCATATTCCGATAACCATACTGATAATAAACGTGAAAACCATTTGTAAAATTAGTGATTCAGTTACTGAAGACTCACTTTGAACAGATCATTTGAATCAGTGAGTTAACTCACAAACTGACGTCTGTCAAATTCACAGATTCATTGTGCAGTGCAATTTGTGACCTGATATAATAGATTAGCATAAAATTAAGCTGTTTTTAAGTGTAAAAATTCTAAGGCTTTTTATCAACTGAATTGAGATTTATTGCCAATTGCTCTAATCATAGCTAGCCTCGCAGCATGTAGGTAGCTGTAGTATAATAAAATGCAGAGTTTAACTGCACAATGGCTGCTAGAAATGACAACAAAGTCAGAAAAGCAGTTCCATGTCCATGTTATTATTTCGATGTGATGATTAAGAAGACCCAATCAGGGAATGAATGTGCATGGGGAACCATCAAAGTAGGCACTTTGAGGTCAAAATAACACAATGTGATTCAATTTGATGTCAATTGACTACCTTGAAGTCAAAACAACATCAAACTGACATCTAAAATTCACTCCATCCCATTTTGCACTATTTTTTTTTTTTTTTTGCACATAAGCCAATTGCACTAGGCACTTTTTGCATAATAAGCACACACACAAAAAAAAAAACACTGTATATTGTTTACATCTGTTTCATTACTCAAATCAGGTTTATATATTGCTAACTTTCATAGATATTTATATACTTACATTTTATAATCATACTTAAGTCACTTCTGTGTATATATGTGTATTTATGTGTATGTTGTGTATGATGTGTATGTTGTGTGTATGACTTCACTGTGGACGGCAAAGTAAGAATCTCATTGTACAGGGAGACGTGTTTCCTTACTGTGCACATGACAATAAACAGTTGAATTGAATTGAATTGAATTAAAATTAGCACCAAAAACGCATCAAATAAAGATTACTTGACTGTTGACTGTTATCAATTTCATGTCAATGTTAGAGGTCAACTTAAGATCGTTTTGAGATCAAGGTCATTAACATGCATACAAATTCCATTGTAAATTTGTAATTTTCATAAAGTTAAACTTTTCCTATGTTTTAGCACTTGTTGTGTTGCTATTTTAGTGGCCAAAAGTGCATCAATATATGGATGTCAAACATTTCCAAAAGTCATTCCAGGCATAACCACAGCCAAAACTGTGCATTTTAAGAAAAGTATTGTGACCAATGTGAACAACCTTTAGAATACACTACACTACTTCTCAGACATTGGACAACTCAACAATGGCACTGAAATGCCATTCTTTCTTTCACATCATTTGATATCACCTCTAAATTTTTGGAGTTTAAATTGTTTTAGATTGTTAGATTTTCTCCAGCAGTTCGTTTGATGCAAGCATGTGATGGCAAAGAAAAACAGTAAATAAAACTCTGCTGTCTATTGAATACTACTATTCAGTTTTAAATATATTTGGTTGGAACCTCCAGTTCATTCAAACTTTAATAAATCTTACTGCATTTTAAAGTTTCCATAGATGTTAAACCACCAATTCTAAAAAAAAAAAAAAAAAAATGTCAATGTTAAAGAACAATTAGGCTGAATTTGACAAAATGGTGTGATCTGATGTCTTATGACTTTGTTACGTACTTTCCTCAGACCTTCACTGCTTGGTGCAACTCTCACCTGCGTAAGGCAGGGACACAGATTGAAAATATTGAGGAGGACTTCAGGAATGGACTCAAGCTCATGCTGCTGCTGGAGGTTATCTCAGGTAAGCGTCTCAATTGATCGACGTAGTTTGTGTCCCATATCAGTGATGTGGTTATGTGCTAGATTGGCTAATATTAGGTCTGCAGTTGTGAAATGATCATATGTAGAATTCAGAAACCCTTGTTATTAGTGACACTAGTGGCCATTAATTGTGCCTTAGCCTTGATCGTACACACATAACATGCCATAAAACAAATGTGATTCAATGCCCTTAAAGGCTCACAGTTTCTTTATTGTTCTATAATTACATATAAAAAAGTTGGGAATACTTTGGCAGCAGCATAACCAATGTTCAGACTGTTCACACTGCTGAGAGCGACATTCAGATGAATATATAAATATTGTAACACTTTCCTCTCCATATTAAAACTAACACAAGAAAATGACCACAGTGGGAAAGCTGCAGATTAGAAAACATCTGATAATACTGATAATTTCAAGTTTGCAATTTTGCAAACTTGCAATAAATCTACAATTTCCTGTCATAATGTCGACAGGCAAGGTAATTACTATTAAAGAGAATTGAATATAAAGTATATTTGAGACTATATACCAATGGTCTCAAACTCAATTCCTGAAGGGCTGTAGCTCTGCAGAGTTTAGCTCCAACCACCTCCAACTCACAACTGCTTTATGGGCATCACACACATAATGCATAGAGCTTACATGTTCTGAAATGAAGCTAACGTAAAGTTAGCAGGGTGTTATTATGATGTGCTTCCCCTTTTAGTAAACTCACATGAAGTTAAGGAGTCCCAGCTAGCATTTTTTTGTTTTTAAAAGATGTCTAATAAACGTCTTAACATAGTCATCTTGGCTAAAACAAGGCTAAATTTGGGCTGTCTGTGAAAATCTAATAGACGTCTAAGAATAGACCAAAACTATAGTAATCAAATAAACAGTAATGAATTACTACACATATAAAGTCTGTCTATTTGACGACTAGTCTAGTTTTGGGCTATTCTTAGATTTCTATTAGATTTTCACGGACAGCCAAAGTTTAGCCTTGTTTTATCCAAGCTGTCTACGTTTAGATGTCTCTTAGACATTTATTAAACACAAAATTGTTTGCTGGGGTATTTCTATACATGTCTTTTCAAAATAGCTTTTTTATTGTCTGTGTGCGTGTGATATCAGGTGAGAGACTCCCTAAACCAGACAAAGGCAAAATGCGTTTTCACAAGATCGCCAATGTGAACAAGGCCCTAGACTTCATTAGCAGCAAGGGAGTCAAGCTGGTGTCCATCGGTGCTGAGGGTGAGACAATCTCTTTCTGCTTCGATTTCTCTTATGTTCTTTGTTCTGTTTTTTTATTTCCATAACTGTGTGATTCTTTCAAATGAAACTGATTTGTTTTAATGCACTCACTTGCAGAGATTGTGGATGGGAATCTGAAAATGACCCTAGGTATGATCTGGACCATCATCCTGCGCTTTGCAATCCAGGACATTTCAGTGGAAGGTGAGAGACTCCAAATATCTGACACATTATCACCTCTGCTGACTATTTAAAGATTCACCCGCTATTTGTTTATGTCACACTAGTTGGTGTAAAAGCTTGCTTGAACTTTTATTGACATCTAGTGATGTAGGTGAAACATCATGCAAAGCAAGTTTTTAGTGCCATTGTAGATGCTGTTAGAATCTGGCTTGTATAAGGAACCTTACCCTTACATAATAACCTTTACTCCAAGCCATCCATTAACATAATAGTATGTCAAATATTCCAAAGGTGGTTTTCCATTTTGGTCTTTTCGACCCACCACTTCTGACATTTAGCATTTATACCTTAACCCAACCAATTCAAATCATCAACCCTTTAGCCGAGAGCATCATGTACTGAGCTGAATGTGTCAGGTACTGTAGGAGAGACTAAATAAAAATGTGTCTCATGGGCCTGGAATGGAAAACATGGTGTTACAGTATTTTGTATTCTTTTAGGCAAACTGATGTCAAAACTGTTGCACTGCTTCCATGAATGGGATGAGAGTAAAGTTTTGAAAGTGCACTGGTATCGGGGTTCAGATGAGAGTACGGTTTTGAAAATGCACTGGTATCGGGGTTCAGATGAGAGTAAGGTTATGAAAGTGCACTGGTATCGGGGTTCAGATGAGAGTAAGGTTATGAAAGTGCACTGGTATCGGGGTTCAGTTGAGAGTAAAGTTTTGAAAGTGCACTGGTATCAGGGCTCAGATGAGAGTAAGGTTATGAAAGTGCACTGGTATCGGGGTTCAGATGAGAGTAAGGTTATGAAAGTGCACTGGTATCGGGGTTCAGTTGAGAGTAAAGTTTTGAAAGTGCACTGGTATCAGGGCTCAGATGAGGGTAAGGTTATGAAAGTGCACTGGTATCGGGGTTCAGTTGAGAGTAAAGTTTTGAAAGTGCACTGGTATCAGGGCTCAGATGAGGGTAAGGTTATGAAAGTGCACTGGTATCGGGGTTCAGTTGAGAGTAAAGTTTTGAAAGTGTACTGGTATCAGGGTTCAGATAAGAGTACGGTTTTGGAAGGTGAGTGTACTGGAGGTCAACTAGTAGGAACTGTGTAAGTAAATTTGACTCTCCAGGCTTGAAGAGGCACACTAGCATCTGATGCTAGAGGTTGCAGTCTTTAGCATCCTTGTTAGTGTTCCCTGCTCTTAAGCTAAAAGCATTGGTTAAAGTCTAGCTTGAAGTGGAGCAAGTAGGACTGAAGGGGTTACACTGGTGTAATGGCACAGATGGGTTGCAGATGAGTGCGGTTTAGGGGTGAGTGTAAAGGATGCTGCAGTCTTGGAAAAATTTGCCCCAACCTTATTCAAACACACCCAAACAAGCTATTCAGGGTCTAAAACAGTGTCCAAAATTGCTTACTACTTGAGTAGGTACTACTCATTGAATTTGAATTTATTTCAGAACCATTAAAAAAGTGTGTTCTATATAGCATAAATGTGCTTAGTATGAATGGTATTCAGATGTACTACATAAGCCATTTGTCATCACAGATGCATTGATTCACCCCTATTCGAATTCTCTCACATGGCATCATGGGATAAAAATGTGTCCGCTGAATGCATACTACAGAATCTTGCTGGAAGTAGTGGTTATCTGGGTACTTCTCATCTACTTTATTTCATATACTGTGAGTTCTGAGGCTGCTTGACTTACATTCTGTTTTTCACATGCAACATAGTATAGAAGTACGTAATTTTGGATGCAGTTTAAGTATTATTAGAAAACTACAGGCAGATGAGTTTCATCAAGGTCAGATCTAAGCTCTGCAGCTCTTTAAGACCTACTAGCATAAGCTAAGATGGTAAACCACAGTCCAATAAATTATAGAGGCACACCAGCAACTGATGGAAAAAGTCTTTGTCTTTCTTGCCAGTATGTTTATCTCTCATGCCAAAAAATGCTAGTTTGGACCCCATTTGGGGCAGGGCAGGTAGAACTATTTGCGTTATAAAGACAAATGACCAGAGGAGTAGAAATAGGCAGGCATTTTTCTCCACAATATTTCTTCAAGCAGGATTCCTTGGGTTCAAATCAGCAACTCAGTTTCAAAGTTAATCTTTTGTATTTTTGCAAACCTGTTGAACCCAACAGGGGAATTTAGAAGATCCCACAACATTCTTGGACACCTATTTCACAAAATTGTTGTTCAAAGGGGAAGGTTTATGCAGTTGATGAATGAGTGTCAGTGAACGTCCTATAAGTGACTGGAAATCATTAATATACAATAGTGCAGACTGAGGAAAAGAGGTGATAGTGAATTTGATGAACCATTTCTTCTTTATTAATAAGTAAAATATTTAGACTTTTCTTATACATCCATGAAAGATTGATAAAGTCAGATGATAGTGCCTATAAACAAATTGTTGAAGGGTAATGTCCAGAGTTAAATTTTTTTGTGCAGCTAGTGAAAATATTCAACTGACCTGTTTCTCACAGAGACCTCTGCTAAGGAGGGCTTGCTGCTGTGGTGTCAGAGGAAGACTGCCCCCTACAGGAACGTCAACGTGCAGAACTTCCACATCAGGTGAAATCTTCTTTACTCCTACTGGCCATTAGAGAGAACAGCATGTTGGCTTAATTTCCCAATATCTTACTGTTTAATCTTTTACAGCTTTTAGTGTGATTTTTAGTTAAAGCGCATCTCTGCATTACCACATCATGCTTTATATGGTTCTAATCTCTCATGTAGAGCCTCTGCACAGCATTCATTGTTTTGTTAATCATTTCCACAATTCTTTTCTTGTTCTTTCTCCCTGTGTTCTTCCTTTGTTTGTGGTCTGTGTCTTAGTTGGAAGGATGGCCTGGCACTTTGTGCCCTCATCCACAGACACAGACCTGACCTCATCGACTACTCCAAACTGCGCAAGGTGCCATTACCCCCTTTCAGTTACTCGCATCATGAAACGTTCCCTTCTTGTTTTGTTGAAAACCCCATTTTTCACACCCATTATAACTGTCATCCTAGACCTGTTGGTAACTAACTTTGTCTCTTTGGCTGTGAATGTACTTTATTGCTTCTATTTACAAATAACTTTCTTTTTCTAATTGTCTTGTTTTGTTTGTCTGTTTTATTCGTATGATGCAAGAATCAATTGAAGTTTCAGGTTTTATTACTTATAAAGTAGAGCCATAATTTGTGCCTGTTTAATGATGCAACTAATGTTCTGTAATGCGGTAAATATAATGTATAATGACCTCTATGTTTGTTCTTGCAGGATGACCCAATTGGCAATCTCAACACTGCTTTTGATATTGCAGAGAAATTCCTTGACATCCCTAAAATGCTTGATGCAGATGGTATGAGCCCGTTGAATCCATCCCGATTTCAAGTTTCAAAGTGTACAAAAAACAGCTTAATGAATTGTTGAATGTTTATCTCCATATCAGACATTGTGAACACTCCAAAACCTGATGAGAAGGCCATCATGACCTATGTGTCATGTTTCTACCATGCTTTTGCTGGTGCAGAGCAGGTAGGTCGGTTCTTCTGGAGATAAACATCTATATAAGAAGGAGAGTCGCTCCTTTTAGAATGTAATTGCCCACCTTGTTTCCCCTTTGTAATCAGTCACACTGTCCTCCAGGCTGAGACAGCAGCTAACAGGATCTGCAAAGTCCTGGCAGTGAACCAGGAAAATGAGAAGCTGATGGAAGAATACGAGAAACTGGCCAGCGAGGTGAGAATTCTCAAATTCTGTACTGAATGGCTATGCTAGTCTTAGTTCTCTCAGTGATTCTTTATCATTGCACTTTAACTTTCACTCCCACCAAAACTCTTTCTCCTCAGCTTCTGGAGTGGATTCAAAGGACCATTCCCTGGTTAGAGAACCGTGTGGCTGAGCAGACCATGCATGCCATGCAGCAGAAGCTAGAGGATTTTAGGGATTATCGTCGTGTGCATAAGCCACCCAAGGTTCAAGAGAAGTGTCAGCTGGAGATCAACTTCAACACCCTACAGACCAAGCTAAGGCTCAGCAACAGGCCTGCCTTCATGCCTTCCGAGGGCAAAATGGTTTCAGTATGTGCTGCTTACTTTCTCTTAAAATGCATATGAGGTAAATGACTCTGGTTTTCAAGTATCCCACACCTGAAAGCATCAACCTTGCCTCCCCTTTTGCAGGATATCGCCAATGCTTGGAAGGGTCTGGAGCAGGTTGAAAAGGGCTATGAGGAGTGGCTGCTTACAGAAATTCGTCGTCTAGAGAGACTGGACCACCTGGCTGAGAAGTTTAGGCAGAAGTCAACCCTACACCAATCGTGGACCACTGGTATTGTATTCTTGATTTTTCAGTTGCTTTTGTCACTTGAACTCCACTATGAAGGCTGACAAAGGTATTCTCACTGTGTTTTTGTCATGCTTAACACAGGAAAGGAGGAGCTTCTGTCTCAAAAGGACTACGAAACAGCCTCTCTGATGGAGATTCGTGCTTTGATGAGGAAACACGAGGCCTTTGAGAGTGACTTGGCTGCTCACCAGGACAGAGTAGAGCAGATCGCTGCCATTGCACAGGAGCTCAAGTAAGATTTACTTTACTCTTCTAAAATCATGAAAGCGCTTTCTCACAGAGCTTACAGTAATGGTTATGATAATAATCATGACAAAGATGCACTGTACTTTAGTGAATTGGACTTTTATGATGCTGCCACCATCAACGCCCAATGCCAGGGCATCTGTGACCAGTGGGACAATCTGGGCACCCTGACTCAGAAAAGAAGAGAATCACTGGAAGTATGTGTTTATATGATCAATCTCTTGGATATTACATTACTACTGTCCAACACAGTTGCCTGAGTTTAGTCTTAAATTGGCAATTCAAATATGTATAAAATATGGTGTTTACAGTGGAGTCTTGCTGTAATCTTTGTTATAGCGTGTGGAGAAACTTTGGGAGACAATTGACCAGTTGTATTTGGAGTTTGCCAAGAGGGCAGCACCCTTCAACAACTGGATGGATGGGGCTATGGAAGATCTGCAGGACATGTTCATTGTGCACAGTATTGAGGAGATTCAGGTAATAACAGGCACCAAATCCATATCCTCTTTAATGATATTTTATACCGTCTATAACTCTGAGTATCAATGGTTAATGTGATTTCCGCCAAATAGGACATGTTCCTGGATCAGCATCTATCTTGATCCTGGAACAACAATCCAATCAACCAATCACATATAAGGGACTAGTTTACAGTTTATGCTACTTTTAGGCTTACAGTAACAGTTGCAACTATTAAAATCCTTTGATTTTATCAATAATTTACAGTTATGGTTAGGTTTAAGGGTAGGGATTAGGTATAGATTACAATATCGATGTTACATTTGAACATAAATTTTAATCCAGGGTCAGATCCTACTTGGCAAAATCACACCCACAAAGTAATAACTGTCTTAACATTTTGTTCTTTGCTTCTATTCTCAACCTCAGAGTTTGATCACAGCACATGACCAATTCAAGGCAACCCTACCAGAAGCTGATAAGGAGCGCATGGCTATCATGGGCATTCATAGTGAAGTCCTGAAGATAGCTCAGACTTATGGAATCAAGATAGTGAGTGAGAACCCCTACACCGTGCTCTCTCATCAGAATATCGTCAATAAATGGGAAGCTGTGAGTACTTTACTAACTTTATTGTAGCATTTAGCAAAAATATCATATTGGCTTGTTAGATGAAAAATTTTGCTCCCTTCCAAACAACAGGTGAAGCAACTGGTTCCAATGCGTGACCAGATGTTGCAGGAGGAAGTGGCCAGACAGCAGTCCAATGAGAGGCTGAGGCGCCAATTTGCTGCTCAGGCCAATATCATTGGACCTTGGATCCAAACCAAGATGGAGGTGTTTCACCACACTACAATCATACACACTATACTCATACATAGTGTGGAAAAATGGGAAACTGACCTGAAATATCCTTCCTTGCTGTTAACAGGAGATCAGCCATGTGTCTATTGACATTGCTGGTTCCCTTGAAGAACAGATGAGCAATCTTAAAACATATGAACAGAATATCATTAATTACAAATCCAACATTGACAAACTGGAGGGCGACCACCAGCTTAGCCAGGAGGGACTTATCTTTGACAACAAGCACACCAACTACACTATGGAGGTACAGTCTGTTTTCTTTATGAAATTTGTCACTTTATGTTTTATGTGGGATTAGGTAAGGTGTCTCACACAATTAGATGTTTCACCATTTATATAAGGGATATTTTCAATTTTTGTCTATTTTAGCATGTCCGTGTGGGATGGGAGCAGCTCCTCACCACCATCGCTCGCACAATCAATGAGGTTGAGAACCAGATCCTGACTCGTGATGCCAAGGGCATCAGTCAGGAGCAGCTGAATGAGTTCAGAGCCTCATTCAATCACTTTGACCGGGTTTGCAACAGTTTTTGGTTCTTTCTCTGAAATAGCCACCTCTATGAAACACTGTCCCAAGAATAACCTTCATTTTTTTTTTGTATTTGCAGAAGAGAAATGGCATGATGGATCCCGATGACTTCCGTGCTTGCCTGATTTCTATGGGTTATGATTTGGTGAGGGCATCTAGTCACCAATGCTGTGTAGTAACTAATTATCTGTACATATATACATAATCAGATTCCAAATATTAAGTTCTTGTAATTAGTGTAAACTCTTTTTTTTTAATAATTGTTATCAGAGTACAATTTCTTTTTTATGGATTAAATATTTATATATTTATAATTAAATAATGAATAAATATATTTATAAATAAATATTTATTCAATTGCAGTAATTTTACAATTAATTGATTCATTTTTAAGGTTTACATTTTTCAGAAAAAAAACTGTTGCTAATAAACATTGAGATTCTTTGGTAAATTATGACATTAACACTTCTTTTTTTTCCTAAATGAAAAATTGCTGTGAATTTCATGTTTTTAATATTGATTTTATAATGATGGCATTTTCTAATCTTACTTCATTTTAAGTGAAATGTTTTAAACTTAAAGATGTGATCTTTAGACATTGTTTCTATCAGCATATAATTTTTGTGTATTATGAATTATTAACAATCCATAAATTGCTCTTTAATAAGCAGGAGAGGGGTCTGGATGCAGACCTGGTGCAGTACAATCTGGGCTGCATCCAATGCTTTTTAATGAGATCACCTAACCCCACCACTAACCCTACCCCTCACCGTGACGTCACTAGCTCCATTTGAGTGCATTGTGTCTGACATTGCATCGCTGAGCGATGCAATCTCAGCTTGCATCATAAAGGCTGCATCCAAATACTGTTGAAGCAGAGTTGCAACTCTTGTGATAAAGAACGGAAAATACCTTTCTAATTTATTAAAACCCAGTCCAGTCCTGCTTTAAAACAAGTGAGATCAAAAAAGGGTTAGCACAAAAGTAATCCAAAAGTAGTCATATTGTTACAATATATGTTATCTAAGACATGTTATGGACCACAAATTTCTCCTGTAGTTTGTAACCAGAAACTGCATTTTTTTGTTTACAGTAACCCATAACAACTATGAAACTAAATAAAAAATTTTTGAATACTTTTTTCAGGGTGAAGTAGAATTTGCACGCATTATGACTCTGGTGGACCCCAACAACACAGGAGTTGTCACCTTCCAAGCCTTCATTGACTTCATGACCAGAGAGACAGCCGAGACAGACACCGCTGAACAGGTCATGGCCTCCTTCAAGATTCTGGCTTCTGACAAGGTAATTCTGATAACTAAGAAACAACAAAATAAACTTCAGGAGAATACGACAGATATATGACTCTGGTTATCTTTGCACTGATGATCTACTTCATTTTGCAGGCGTACATTACAGTGGAGGAGCTGAGAAGGGAACTGCCACCAGAACAAGCCGAATACTGTATCAGCCGCATGACCAAGTACATGGGCGGTGATGCTCCTCCAGGCGCGCTTGATTATATCTCCTTCTCAAGTGCTCTGTATGGAGAAAGTGACTTGTAGAGCCCTTCTTGTTACCCAACATCCCCTACACCTTTTCCCTAAATTTATGAAACCTTAAAAACATCTAACTCCAAGAACAATGTCAAGATGTAAAGAACGACTTTACTGCAGCGATCTGACACCAGTTTATATTCAGTGAATTACTTTGATGATTGACACCCATCAATTGCTGTCTGATCTATTAGAGGGTAATCTTTTGTTGTGTTAAGTGCTCTCACAAGCCGATAGGAGATTAAAGAGGGTGAAAACCTAGCAGTATCATTAGTCAAAGTGGCACTGTTAATAGGAGACATCTGCACTCCTTTCATGCAAATGGCTTAACTATTGGAGGAAGAAAAATAAATGATCTTAAAGAATATAACCTTTTGTGTATTTTGTTGTTTAAACATGTATAATATATCAATATTAGGTGCTTAGTGGTTTTCAGTAGTCTGGAGACCTAAAGTAACAGGGTTCCCACACTTTCACCAACAGCAGATTCAAGGACTTTTTAAAGCACCATTCATTTTAAATCAAGCACCTTTGCAATTTATAGCCTTGCATATGTACTTCATTCATAAGTCATAGCTCAACACATGTGCTTAACATTTCAACTAAACTTAAAATTTCCATTAGAAATGTAAAAGTAATATTCAAACATGTAAAATAGATGATGTAGCCACAGCCATATCACCCTGCAGCACAAGACGGGTTACTCACTGAAGCCAATTCAATTCAATTCACCTTTATTTGTATAGCGCTTTTACAATGCAGATCGTGTCAAAGCAGCTTCACATAGAAGATTATAGTAAATTGGAACAGTGTAGTTCAGTTTAGCTCAGTTCAGTGTGGTTTAATAATCACTACTGAGAGTCCAAACACTGAAGAGCAAATCCATTGATGCATAGCTCTACAGATCCCGAACCATGCAAGCCAGTGGCAACAGCGGTGAGGAAAAAAAAAAACTTCACCAATTGGCAAAAGTGAAGAATTAAAAAACAGAGAGAAACCAGGCTCAGTTGGGCATGACCATTTCTCCTATGGCCAAACGTCTTGTGCAGAACTGCAGTCTAGACGCGGTAGGCTGGACCTCAGCAAAGACTCATCTGTCCCTGGAGCATCACCGAAATCAGTCTCAGGGTCTCCACTCCACCATGACTACCACAGCAGCTGCTCAGGATACGGCCTACTCCAGGATATGGAAAACTTGGGATCATCTCGTCACTGGTCTTGGATCGAATCAGTGGCTCTGCTTAGTCTGAGGGCCTCGGAATGAGTATCCCCAGGTGGAAATAGAGACTAAAGAGTATAATTAGCCTAGCTGCTGGCTGTTCATAGTGTATATAAACGAGATGCAGAAACCTGCATGGAGCACATTCATGTATCATACCGCTAAGTGATGCATGTTTTACTAAAAAGATAGGTCTTTAATCTAGTTTGGAATTACGAGAGCGTGTCTGAGCCTCGGACTTTACCAGGAAGGCTATTCCAGAGTTAAGGAGCCATAAATGAGAAGGCTCGACCTCCTTTACTCGACTTTGCTATTTTAGGTACTACCAGGACCCCTGATTTTTAAGATCTTAAAGAGCGAGTTGGATTGTAGCGAGACAGAAGGTTGGTTAGATAAACAGGAGCTAGATTTAAAGCTTTTTAGGCAAAAAGCTATTTAAATTCAATACAAAACTTAACAGGCAGCCAGTTTAAGGAGGATAAAGTTATAAGGGTGCCTCAAGGATCAGTTTTAGGCCCTTTCATTCATTTTCTTGTCAGCTTAGTCCCTTAATTAATCCAGGGTCGCCACAGCGGAATGAACCGCCAACTTATCCAGCAAGTTTTTACGCAGCGGATGCCCTTCCAGCGGGAAACATCCACACACACACTCATACACTACGGACAATTTAGCCTACCCAATTCACCTGTACCACATGAGGAAACCCACGCGAAGGCAGGAAGAACATGCAAACTCCACACAGAAACGCCAACTGAGCCGAGGTTCAAACCAGCGACCTTCTTGCTGTGAGGCGACAGCACTACCTACTGCGCCACTGCCTCGCCTGTTTACAATATTCATGCTACAATACATAGGGTAGCATGTATATTGTAAACAGCAAAGGGCCTAAAATTAATCCTTGAGGCACCCCATACTTTACTGGCCTGTCCATTAATATTTACAAACTGGTAACGGTCAGCTAAGTATGACTTAAACCATTGTAGAGCCTGTCTCTGGACACCTGTAGAATTTAAGCGATATAAGAGGATAATGTGGTCGATCGTATCAAATGCCGCACTAAGATAGAGTAAAACTAACCAGGGCTGAGCCTGGTCTCTACCTGGATGGGTGACCACATAAGAAAACTAAGTTGCTGTTGGAAGTAGTGTTAGTGAGGCCAGCAGGGGGCTCTCAACTTTTGGTCTGTGTGAGTCCTAATGCCCCAGCTAAAAGTGAAGGGGACACCATATTTTGGATGAGACGTTAAACAGAGGTCCTGTCTCTCTGTGGTCATTAAAAATCCCATGGCACTTCTTGCAAAAAGTTGGGGTGTAACCCCGGTTTTCAGGTTAAATTCCCTCCATCTGCCCTTACCCACCATAGCTTCTCAATCATACCCATCCACCAAATTGGCTCTATCACTGTCTCTCCACTCCACCTAGCTGGTGTGTGGTGAGTGCACTGACACTTGTCCTTTGTCTGCTGTCACATTATCTAAGTGAAAGTGAAATTAAAGCCCTTTAAAGTGCTTTCAAGAAGCGTGGGAATCCTGATGTAAAAACTAGGAAAATGTATTTAACCCACAAATTCCCACACTGCAGCTTTAATTTATTCCTGGGGCTTCTGCATTTTCCTACTGGTCAAAGTTAAAATAATTACATGAACAGCTCTTAAACATTTGAATTTTTATTAAAAATGTATAAACCCACAATCAAATATAAAAGTATACAAAATAGTTAACAGATCCTTTAAAAGAAATACATCCCTTACAAAACTAATAAAAAACAACAACAACACAATACCAAAATTTAATAATGATTTAAAAAATCCTACAAACACAAGTAAAAATAAATACCACCATTTAAAAACAAATAAACAGAAGAAATTTAATTATAAATAACATCAACATACAAAATATGATTACAACGCAAGGAGTAAAATCATAAAACATGTTAAACATGAACAGTCCTATGGAACAGTACATCACACAGAATATTTTACATCTACAGCCTCGAAATGAGTTTCCCTCCTGTCCTACATGAGACTTTTCAAACCATAGATAAAAGTGCTATACATCAGTGTACATGGCTGGTCATCTGCACAGACTGCTGATCCCCAAGTACATGATCTACATTCAGCATAGACAGTGTATGTGTGAGTAACTAAATGCTTAGATATAAGTGCTATTGGTTTACATGCACAGTACATGACCATCAGCCTTCACAGACAAGAGAATGAGCATGAAATGGAGCAAAAAATTACAACCATACCTTGAGATATTAGTCATTTGAAACATGTTTGTGGTGAAAGGTAAAGAGATTACACCACAAACAGCTAGTTGGATTTTCCACTAAGTAAGCTTTTGAGACCAAAGGAGAAAGCAGCACCTAAAGAGAGTCCCAAAGCCAGGAAGAAGGTCATCAGAGCTCCTGCTGTTTCAGCATCTTTAGGCCTCACCAGTCTGGAAAAAAAGGAAATTGTTTGAAAAGAGCTTAGTACTGGATCAAAAAGATTCTGTTTTCTGTAAACTTGTCCTGTTTGAGTACTTACTGTGGGGCATAGCTCATGGAGAGGCAGGCTAAATATCCATTTGAAATGGCAAACAAAGACATGAAGATGATATACGCCATGTCATGGTTGAAAACGACTGGCAAATAGTTGCGAGGTTGGACGTTGCAGAGCATGAGGGCAGGAATGAAAACCACTCTTGATAGCACAAAAATCGGAAAGAGTCGACTCTTCATGGAAGGCTTGGAGGTTGAGAAGTGAACAAAGCTAGATGTTAGAATAGGAATTAATTAGGCATATATTTTACTGATGGATGCTTTGACGAGACTTACCCACTGAAGACAAGAAGTCAGACTCCTGCCGATCCAGTCCATCACATTGAAGACCAAGAACGAGCACAAAGGTACGAAGATGTGGTCTAGAAGTTAAAAAGGATGTAAATTAAAGTGTTTTGAAAAGCATACATTATTAGCTAGACATTTTGTATGGACTCACCTTTGCCTTCAAAGAAGCCAGAGGGCTTTGTATTTATAGTAATTGCAGGGAAAACGGATAGAGTGACAGCAAACACGCAGGTCACGCATAATGCCATTACCCAAATCTACAAAAGATGCAGAAATAAATGAACCAAATCCAGATACACACTCATTGTTTTAAAAAATGTGTATTTTTATTTGTAACAAAGGGTGGGTGCATATAATTGTTTCACAATACCTTTCTGAAGACCTGTGGCACAGTTGACTTCTCCTCAGTTTGCTCATCGTTGAACTTATTTAGCTTTTCACAAGCTTCCGTTTCACCGATGTCATTGAATTCATGACCAAGATCATTCAACTTCACTTTAACAGTCTCTGTAGCAACAAAAAGAACCAACATTGTGTCTTTGCTGCACTTTCTGTAATGTGTCCAAAAATGAGAAATGTGTCATACCAGAACCATTTGCTGATGGCTCCTTCACTGCATCTGCAGTTTCACAGGAAACTTTTTCCAAATAAGTTCGGGCAAATCTCTAAAGCATACCAATGATTTTCATTTTGTTCAAAATCGGCATTTATTAGAAAAGTGTTCATTAAATATAAAACTAATTCATGATGGATTAGGGCACCTACCAGATGTGGAAGTAAGAGGTAACAAAACAAAGTCAGTAGAGTGGCGGCACAGGGGGTTATGAAGTATCCCAGGGCAGAACTCTCTGGGTTGGTTTCAACTATGGAGTGGAAAGAATGGTCACTCAGAGTGCAAACAGTAGCTTTACTCACCCTGGTGTGATTCCAATACCCTGCGACCATTGTTCATCTTAGATGAAATCCAGAAGATCAATCCTCCATAGAGGGCAATAAACCAGTTCAAAGTCCAGAAAAGGAAATAAAAACATTGCCAAAACATTTAATGTGACTTCAGTGTGTTCACTGTAATCATATGATGCTCCAAGAACATTTTTGTGCACCAAAGAACAAAGAAAAAAAAAAAAAGGTTTGACTAGACCTCCTCTTACTTATTTTTGTTTAAAATATAATCATTTTTGTTCTGAAGATGAATAAAAGTCTTGAGACTGAATATTAATGCAAGGCAATGAAAGTTTTGTTCAATTAAAGAACTAGTAAATTATTACAGATCAAAGCTATGTTTTGTTTTTAATTGTCTAGTTTAGTAGCAAGT